TGCCTGGCAATCACACTAGATTTCTCTAGTCTATCCTCCTCACTTTTCCACTCTTGGATACATGATTACGTCACGTATTTTTCCCTCTTCTCAAACCTTCAGTATACACTCCCAGTCTTCCCTACTCTCAGCTAATTCACTAAGATAAACAGAAAACCTCAGATGGGAACTTCTCAAGCCACCACCAGTCTGTCAACATATTCTGTCTTCTCTCCCCTTTCTACAGATAATCTCTCCCTACTCCTCCTAAAGCAAAGGCTAATCCTTCCACCTGTGCACAGATTAGGGGCCAGCAAGCCCCGGCCCACGCTGCCTATAGCTGCTTTCATGCTACAAAAGCAAAGCTGAGGGGCAGTAACAGAGACTGTATTGCCCACAAAGCTAACTACTGCTATCTAGCCCTTTAAAGAAAAAAATGTGCTGACCCCTGCACTAGATCACCTCTCCTCTCATCTAACATGGATACTGCTGGTTGAAGAGCTGATGGAGTTCCATGCACAAGAAATGAAGTAAGATCTGCACAAGACATGTACAACATCAGTGACATACCAGATATACTTACTAATGACAAAGAAACAATCTTAACAGGGACAGGTCACATATAAAAGATGAAGACTGAAGGGCATAAGATTTTTCAACAACCACTTGAAGCTAGAAAATTATAGTGTAACCCCTTAAATTTTGAGGGAAAATGATTTCACCTTGGAATTCTATACCCAGACCGGTGAAATTATCAATCAGGTGCCAGGGTAGAAGAAAGATATTTTCAGCAATACAAACATCTCACAAATTTCACCTCCTCAGACACTCTTTCTTGAAAGTTACTGAGGAATGCACGTCACCAAAACCAAGGTGTAAATCGAGAAAGTGGAAGGCATGGATCCAGAGACCACAGGCTCTAACAGAGGGAAACGGCAGGAAGAATTCTCAGAATCACGCTGAAGGGAAACCAGAAGCTAACGCTGTGCAGCACACGTGGAGAGCGACAGTGCCCACTTGAGCATGAGGACACAGAGCCCTCGGATTTTTCCAATTTTTTTTTTAATCATTTACTTGATGTGTTTGAACATACTGGGATAGCTTCTAGAAAAAAATTACAGACAAATAGCAAACTAAGCAAAAAACAAAAACCAAGAAAAAATTTTAACTCCAAGAAATATAATCATAGGTTCAATGGTGAACATATTTACAAAGTCATCATAATGTCAACAATGAACACTGATTTAACCAAATATGATATAACCACACGGGAGAGAAAGTTCCAGGTGGCGTAAGAATCCTAAAGCATAGAATCATCTTCTACAATAGGAAGTCAATATATAATACCTAAAATTGAAAACAAATAATATTTTAAAATGTGGAAGTAAACATCAGAATCAGCTAAAAGTATTGAAAATGGTTGCTCTGAGAGCAGGACCTCGGGCCAGCCGAGTGGCTCAGTTGGTTAAGAGCTCGCTCAAGAGTACGAGCTCTGAGCAAAAAGGTTCCCGGTTCGATTCCTGGCCCGAGCTGAGCTGCCAACAGGTGGCAGGATGGCTCGGCTAAAAAAAAAAAAAGGAGAGTACCTTCTGAGAGCAGGACCTAGGAGAGAAAGCTATGAAGCAGGGGGTGATGATTTTCAGTATAAGTCTTGTATAATTTTCTTCTTACCTGAATAGTTATATTATTTGAAGTAAAAAACTAATGTGATTTCTTAAAACAAACAAAACTAGTGGTTTTTGTACCACTTAATACCAATGAACTCACTCACCCCCACAAATACTATCTGGGCATTGACTGTGTGCCAGGTACTTTTCTAGGTGCTAGGAATACAAAGTGAACAAAACTACGTCCTTGCCCTCATGAAGCTTACAACCAGAAGGAAGCAGATAATAATCTATGCTATGATGTCAGATAAATTAATGTTGTGAAGAAAAAATAAAGGTAAGGGTAGAATGTGATGGGGGTGCTATTTAGGTAGGGTTTTCACAAAGGGCTCTCCAAGAATCCACTAAAAGGAAATCAACCTAAAAAGAAGAGTCTGTTTTGAGAAAAGGTCATGTAAGTAAAGTAACAGAAGGGCTTCAATTAAGTTCAAGGTGAGAGCTTCATTTTAAGACTCTCATACTTCAAAGCAATGTATCATTTAAGAGCTAGTACCAGAAGCTCTCTGTAGTGGCGTACATCAATTGCCAGGCACCCTCAACCTCTTCCTGTATCCCTAACTAGCTATTACTTATTCAAGTGGCTGGGTAAATGTATACTCAAACTTTTTTCTTTCCATAGATGTCACACATTTCAAATTCTAGTGTTTTATTCCTATTATGTAGTTAAAAGTTTTCCTAAGTCAAAAGCTCAAGACATTAAGAAAGATTCCAGACTAATTCCAAGTTACTGAAATTTATCACATCTAATCTTCATTCTCTCACAAAAGAGGAACCCTAAACCAATGGGAATAACCCACATTTAAAGAAACAATCTATAGGGTAATGCAATACATTCACTTTACTCTCCAAGGAACCTCACTCAGGCTGAGGTAGAGTTTCAAGCTGTTTGAACTCTTTTCATTGAAAACTGAGTAACTTTAAAAATGCTGTATTCAGATTGAAGTGACAATTTTATTCCAAATGCAGCTGTTATACAATAAAAACCTCGTATTCAAAAAATAGGATTGATTTTAACACATCTTATTCTCAAAACACTTCTAAAAGTAAATACAAGCTCTTTTAATACAGCAAAAAAAGCAATACTTTTGGATTTAAATAGGTTTGAAAGTTTAATTCACAAAAAGAAAACCAATTCAATTAATTAAATTTCAATTAATAGTTGGGTTTAAAGTTTACAGGTAATTTAGAAATTGCTGGAAAAGCAAACTAGCAGCAGTGCTGTATGCTGAACTGTAGCACTGGAAGTTGATGCTGTCGCCACCAGGTTCTACACTCCCAAGTGGAGCATAGCATTATGTACAGTAAGAGCTACAACCTGGGTTTCTGCTCACTGTTTGCTTCTTGGGCACCTGTGTGCTTAACATCTCCAAGCCTGTTTCCTCATCTAAAATGGAGGTAATGACCCCATTAGGGTCAATGGTAATTACTGGCAGTCCTGTTAATGAAAAGTACCAAAATATTAAGTATTAATAATCTATTTTTTTAAAAGCTTTGTAACGTGTAAAGAACTACACCAATGTGTGTCGTATTTTACAAAAATAAGACAATCACTTTCAGTCAAACTTTTCTGATTTTAGCAATTAATGGTTATCAGATTCTATGGAAGAATAATAGGACATTGGTCCACTCACACACACAGCCAGAAGAAAGATGACTTTTTTAAAATTTAGACTTAAAAAAATTAAGACTCCCTTATAAACAAGTGCCGAGAGAATATTTTTGGCAAACGTTTCATTTAACTATATAAACCAAAAGAATAAAGCTGTTTAACCACAAGTAAACTGTGCATCATCTGACTTCAGGTAGAATGTTTATTTTTGCTATACTTAGGAACCAGATACCCAATGTATATAAACATTGGCATATTTTTAAAGCAACTGTCTTACTGCTTCGGTTCACTAAGTAATAATTCCCACTATTCTTAGAAGGAGAAACACAAACCATATCCTTAACCAAAAAAACTCATCAGAGTAGTTTTTTACTTCTTAAACTAACATTAAACAGTGTTATCTGACTGACAATGAAGTCATAGACTATTTGCTCACTTACCCTTTAAACTCCATCAGGGCATAGACCTGTCTTTTTCTTTGTTGTAACTCCAATATCTAGGCAACTTACTGGCACCAAGTAGGTACTCAATAAATGTGTGTAGAATGAATGAATAAATGAATGAATGAACGGACAAATGAACTGGCCTAGGAACAAAAGCTTAACTGTTTTAAGTTGCAACAGAACAATTTCACCTATATATCCATCATTCATTACAAACAACTACTCTCTCAACTGTAATGATATAATAAACTGAAAAAGACATGTTACTCGGTACTTAAACACACACACCAACATATTACTCACATGTGTAATAGGAGTGCACAGAACAAAACATTCACAAACCAGTTTTTTAGATTTCTCTCTCAGGCAATTTTGGTGTGTTCTTTCTGATATTAAATATATATCTCAGAAAAGCATGCTTCAATCATGCTTTCAAACTTCAGTTCAGTTGCCATCTGGAATCATTTGGGCAAGTGAACAGCTTCCAGAGTCCCACCCTGGGTATTTTTCAAGAAGTCAAATTCTTTAATTCAGTAAAAGATAGAATAAAGTGGGGGAAAGGTAGATCTTAGCGTTTCAAAATTATTATACTGAATTTCAAAGAAAGAAAACAATCTGCTTAACATAAATTACATTGTAATTATTTATCCAAAAAGGCATCTAACATCCTTACATTTGATCTTTAAGCTAGTAAGATTATTTTCCAAATCTTTGAAATTAGATGATAAACTTTATGCCTACAAAGTTCGAGTTAAAGGTTAATTTATTAAAATAATACTGTTTGGATAACTTCCTTCATAATTCTACCGTCTCCAGTAAGATATTCAGCAGTAACAGTAATAAACATATGTGTGATTCTACAGCACTTGTATAATTATCTGGGTGGAACAGGCTTTTATGGCCACCAAGCTATGATCTGTGACTGCAATACTATGCGTGCACGGATCGAAAAGTTTCCCAAAACTCTGTCATCTTCAAAGAGGCTTGAACAAATCAATCTGAGAACGAGTAGAGAAAAACACCAGAATCTACTCATAAACACTTGTGTGAAAACATGGGCTCTCCATAACAACTTCAGCGTTGATTAAAAATCCAGGGCACATAAAAGATAAAGCTCAATTAACTGCTGCCTGGGTTTCCTCCTTTATGGTCTTAAACACTGGGTATATTTCTTTGTAGCGCTTTCTTAAACAGAAATTTAGTGTTTCCATCGCCCCTCCTCCATAGCTAACATCAGTGCCCTTGTCTTCCTCCTCCCTCACCCCTCCCAGTTCAAACAAATTAACATTTGTACTAAGGTACCTCCTATCAGCTCGCAGCTTCTTCCCAAACACGCCCACGTACACTGAAACTAGCCAGCGTCTACACAACACGCAGCTACAGGGGGAAACAAAGCTTCAAGGGGAGCACCTAGGGGGGTAATTTAGCCCCGCACAGGTTTACGGCTCTTTTCCAGATAGGAGCTCCACACTCGGGGCTCGGATTGCTCCCAAGTCACCTCCTGAGCATGGTGTTTATGAGCCAACCTAATCCGATACTGCAATGGAATTCCGGATATTTGCAGACAGATAGCCCGGCTTTGCAAGTGTTTGATCAGAGCCGTCCGAGTCTCCTTTCAATCCGCCCGCTCCTCGTTGTACAGCAACCTGACCTCGGCAGCGCCCCCCGGCCCCACTGTGCGCCCCGGGCGCTCGAGGCCAGCGCAGGACCAGCCGCTCCGGGTCCGAGGCTGGCGGGCGACTGGGGCTGCGGGGGCCGCTCCGCAACAGGTCACCCTGACCGCCGGTGCGCGCTTCGCAGGCGGCCGGCTCGGGGGCCAGGCTCCGGGGGCGCAGCGGCCCGGCCGGGGAGGGGGTGTGGCCCGCTCCGCGGTCCTCGCGCCGGCTCACCTGGAGCGAGGCTGAGCCACGGCCGGGGCAGCGCGAGTGCAGGCTGGGGGTTTCCGCCACCAGGAGGGAGAGCCAGGCGAGGCAGGCACGGGGGCGGTGTGCGTGTGTGTGTTGGGGGGGGGGGGTGACGCCGCACCCCCGGGACAGGGACCCGAAGCGAGGACACCACAGCCACCCTCTGACTCGGAGAGCGAGTCGCCAAAGGAGGTGCGGCCCGGGGTCCCCGGCGCCCTCCTCCCGCAGCCCGAGCCTCGCCGCCCCCTCCCCACGCCGAGGGCCAGCGGCCCGGGGCCCGCGGCCGGGAGTTCAATGCGCTGCAGCGCCGGAGCCGCCGCCATTCCCCGCGCCGCCGCCGCTGCGGCTCCGCTCCGCCCGGGGGGCGCCGCGCACCCACCTTCCCTCCCCCGCACTGCCCGGCGACGCTCCGCACCGGGCCCGCGGCCAGGGCACCGACCTGGGTAGCCCCAGCCGTCGCCTCGAAGGATGGAAAGACGCCGCCGGCCTCACGCCGCTCCGCCGCCGCCGCCGCCGCCTAGGACAGCGCTCCGCGACCTGAGGAGTCGGCGTCTCTCATTCAGCGCCCGCCGCGGCCGCTCGGGGGAGGGGAGTGAGCTGGATCCACCCCGTCCGCCCCGGGCTGGGGGAGGAGAGCCGGCCGGGCGCACCACCACCGAGCGCGCTCGCGCCGGGCCCGTGCGCCGCGGCGGACAGGGTCTTCCCCGCGCGCGCCCCGCCCGCCGCGCTCCTGCCCGGCGGAGCCCAACTGTCGCCTGGCGCTGGGGGCCGCGCGCCGCAGCCTCTCCGCCCGCTACTGGCCAAACGATGGAACAGGGAGGGGTAGGAGGGCCGACAGGTGGGACACCCCCTCCCCACTGGGGACCCTCCACGGTGAAATCCAGTGCCGTCTGTCGGCTGCAGCAACGGCACCTCACCTTAAGTCTGAGAACACTTGGTCCCCCAGATTGAATAACTGCCCTGCCCGCGCCAGGGGTGTCTTTAGAAGTCGCTGCGGACCAGGGAGGGGGCTCCAAAAGTCAAGAGCCACTCCACTGCCCTAGGATCGTAAATGAGGGTGATCAATACTCGCCCACGTTAAGATTCGGAAAGTGTTAGAAGTAGGCCTTTGTGTTATGCAGGCTACGGCCCTTGGCTTAATGAGCAAATGACAGAAATGTGGCAACCCCCTGGGTCTCAGATTGATGAGCTGCAGGTGAGCAGTGTTTTCACATCAATGCTCGAACAAGATTCTGAAATATTAAATATTTCCTGGGAATGAAAAAGGAATGGATTTGGTAGAAATGGTGGAAGGGTGTTGTCACCGAGGGTGCACTCTGTAGGGTGGCCTACTTAAAATTAGCATCATTTGATACCATGTGACTATAAATGGAACGTTGTAAGTGAGCCACCTTTGTATTATGCTGTCATTAGACCATTTGCAAATAGATGATTATTTGATGACCTGTAACTCTCTAGGCATTATGGAGTAGCATGTGGAAGGAATACTGGGTACTAGCATTAGGTAGAAAACATGAAAGGAACAAAATTATTCCCATTTGGTTTCTTTCCTTTCTTTAATAACCACTTAACAGAACTGATTAATCTTGTATAGGGAAGAACGCTAATTATTTCCTCCTTTGACTGCCTTTTATCATAGCATTTTATTCTATTATAGTTAGGGAAGTTGGAATGCCTTTCAACCGCCTTCTCTTAAATAGGATTACTTCTCCCCACCACTCAAAGGTAAGTTGAAAAACAAAAATGAAAAAACAAGGATAGGCAAAGTTCATGGTTTTTCATTTTCATTCCATTTTACTTTCAAAATCTTGACAAGAATCATGATGAAATCACTGGGAGAAGAAGAAACCAAAAGAAGAAGAAAAAGAAAAAAACCAAACAATTTTCAAATAAGAATAGACCAAAAAAAAAAAAAAAAGGAAAACAGACTACTGGTAAAAAGGGAGGAAATGTATTATATATACAGGAATTTTCCCATAGAAGTTAATTGCTTTAAGTCCCTAAGAAACAACAGGCAAACAGAATTAGCACTTGGAGGAAAAAAACAATTTATCAAGTTTGGTAAATGTTTAGGGTTTTTTTTAAGTGTTAGTAAGGGATTAAGGAAAAGGTGGTTGGCTGTGTGCCAACAATACATACAATAATTATACATATATTTATATATTATAATTATGGGCTATTTCTTTACTATATCCCTTTATCACTGCTCTTAATTAAAATAGGAAAACAGAGGAACAACAGGGAATTCTATTTTGTATAAATGTCTTGCAATTACTTTAAACTTGAATTAGAGTTTCATAAAAGCAAATAAGCCTGTGTTCCTACATCTGCCAATAATTTTCACAGTTTACTGTAAGGGCAGTGAAGTTTCATTTGGACTTTGACGAGAAAAAGCCATGTGACTCACAAAGCTAGGCCATGGATATACTAAATTCTTATACTGCTGAATTTCTGAGTTTAGAATAATTACTCAAAATCTGTTTCTGATGTTGATAACCCATAAAATAATACTTTATTAACCTTTAGAGTTGTGTTAAGTTCAAATTTTTGAACTTGGTAATATTAAGAATTTGTGTATTAAAAATACAGGAAAAAGTTCATTTCAATGTCTTTTTTTTTTCTCATAGCTTGGGAATTATTTAAGAAAGTCAATGTCCCTTCCTATTTATTGATGTGCAAATAAAAACAATGGCTTTTTACACTTAAAGAGGGACCAACAGCAAAATTTCCTTATCAGAGAATCTTTAATCACAGTTAAATTCTGTAAGCTGCTTTATGTATTCCATTTGCTTTTGCCAAAAGACAAAAATATGCAAAGCCTTAGTATAATAAAAAGTACTAATATATAAAATAGAAATGCCATTATATGAAATAGAAATCAATAAGAATTCAATATGCTTAAAAGTCGTTTCAGAGGAATCCCCATTATGTAGCAGTTTTATTACTATTCATCAGAATTATTTTCAAAGGGTAAGCCAAGGAACTAATTCAGATATAGAACAAGCAGTTTCTAAGACAGGAGATCACCACTGCAAAAACACAACTCATTACAGCTGTCAAAACAAAAACTGGTGAGGTAAGGAAGTGCATTATTTCAGTTACACCTAATTCTATTACAACCAACAGAATTTCAGTAATAACATATATCTCTATAATTTCTCTAAACTTCAATCTCTTTCTTCAAATATATAGATATAGTTATAGATAAAGGGTGGACATTTCAAAAAATTTTTCATGTATGTTTGCATTATTCTGATTTAAAATATAGGCAAAATAGCATACCTGAAATCCACTTTGAGGGGAAGGATGTACAGGAGGACTTCGAATGTTAGAGAATGTGTGACGCCAAGTTACAAGGAGAGCCTGCCACGATGCCCACTCAAGAGAGACATGCCACATATATTAAGACACCAAGAACAAAAATAATCACCAGTCCATTCAAATATGAGCATCAACCTTCAAAAGGCATCAGGCCTTAATTTACGATCGAGCTGTTTTCTCACAAGGGCAACTCTGTGTAGGACACGGATCAGCAAGGATGTATTTACTTAGTGGTGATTAATGTTTCTCTGAAACCAATAGACCAGCTAGTGTACAAATAAATGTTGGCATGAACGAATAATTTTCAATATTAACTTTAAAGGCAATTTCAGTAATGCCTCATTTATCTGACAGAATCACGAAATCGGCCAGTGAGAGACTGAACATAATCAGATGATCTAGATAACTGAGGTTTGCATCTTAAAACACTAGAAACGGTTTATTTAAACCACTTATATTGATTTTTTTTTCTGAAACATCACCGCTTTCTCTGCCTTCAACTAAATAGAACACAGCAGAGCTGAACCTATTCCTAATGACCCAGAGGTGTCTTAAAATCAAAGGCTATAATACCAAGATGTCCGCAGGAACTTAGAAGTACTTAGTACCCTTCCCCCATAATAAACAGCCATGGCCTGCTAAGTTCCAGCATGCCTGTGAGTCTAATTCCTCAGGATGGAACTCATTATTGATTTTCCTGCCATCCGTTCTGTTGCTGCATCCCTCTTACAGCACCGCCATATTTTTAAATATATGTATAGAATAAGAGTAAAGAACCTCAGAAAATGCTAAAACAACTGATATTTGGGGGCATTTACTTCATATAAAGGCCATTTGCCTATTTTCATATTTTCCTCCATGGTTTAGATACTTGAGTTTACCAGATAAGTGAATTCTTTTGGCATTCTATAATATTTTCCTTAAAAATTTTAGGCATTGCTCTTCATAGTTAATGAAAGGTGAGGATCTTTGTCAACAATGTTCATCACAGTAGTTTCTTTATGTATCTTGCATTCAAAGTAAGGTAAGAATTTTACAAAAACAGGAATTCATAAATCCATAACAGTGATAAATAGGCAAAATGAATAGAGAAGGAGTACTCTTGCTTATGGTAGCATGTTGAATGCTGACACATAAATATGGACGCAGGGCTGGAGTTGGACAATCATCATTTTGCAACCATTGTGGCAGAGATAAGAGAAGAACCATCAATGCATGCCAAATGCAGAGAGGGATTTTGATGAGGAACAGTATATTTGCATCATCATAGACTTCTTCTATAGACTTCCTATTAGTTGCAAGGAAGGAAAAACTATAGTTACATACTGGAGAAACTGGATAAAAACTTGACCAAGTAATCAAAATTAACATCGCCAGTGAGGGACAGGTGGACACTGTTTGCCTCAAGGGTGA